GGGCTGTAATGGCCTACCTGACTGAACAATGTAAATCTATGGAGACTAGACTGCTTTTCAGGACCCTGGGTTCTGGGGGTACACCGCACTCCTGCCGGTTCTCACGCAGAGTCTCGGGGTTCTAGGCAACTGCCCAGCCATGACCCAGAATACCCTTATGCTGTCCCACAGGCTGGTGGTCTTGGGTTCTATAAGAAAGCAGGCTGAGCAAGCCATGGGGAGCAATCCAGTAGGCAGCACCCCTCCATGGCCTCTGCATCAGCATCTAGGTTTCTTCCCCGTGTGACTTCCTGTCCTGATTTTCTCAGCTATGGGAATAAATTTAAGGTCAGGTAAACCCTTTCATACCCAAGTTGCCTTTGGTAAGGTGTTTCATCACAGCATTGGTGACCCTAAGACACGATCAATGTACATTTCTTTTTTTTCTTTTTTTTTTTTTTTGGTTTTTCGAGACAGGGTTTCTCTGTGTACCCCTGGCTGTCCTGGAACTCACTCTGTAGACCAGGCTAGCCTCGAACTCTCAGACTCAGAAATCCACCTGCCTCTGCCTCCCAAGTGCTGGGATTAAAGGCGTGCGCCACCACCGCCCGGCTTCAATGTACATTTCTTACACTGTATTCATTTATTTTGTGTGTTTGTGTGCACAGGGCATGTGTGGAGGTCAGAGGTCAACTTGCAGGAATCAGATCTCTCCCTTACGGTACGGGTGTCAGGGATCAAACAAGGCCACCAGCTTTGCAGCAAGCAACTTTACCCACTCAGCCCTCCCTCTAACCTGCAAGAGACCTTTGGCGAGTGTGCCAAACGTCTCACAACGTCTTTAAATGAGAAAAGGGCCATATTTTCAACAAACTGAACTGGAGAGACTGAACACCCACTTGCAAAAGGACAAAGTGGCACAGTTACTTGAGACTATATTGAAAATAATTAAAAATGAATCAGAATTCTAAATGTGCTTTAATAAAAACAATGTCTGGGAAGAGCTTCAAGATTCTCGATTTGACAGTGACTTCTTGGATACCACACTATAAGGAGGGGAAGTCGATAAAGCAACTAAATCAGATTAGAGACGTCTCTGCATCCACAGGCACAGCCTGTGGGTTAAGGTCCAGGATCTATAAAGAATTCCTATAGCCCAACAGCAGATAACCTGATTCTAAACATGGGCAAAGGACCTAAAGAGACCTCTTCCCGGAGACTAGCAAATGACCCAGTAGCAGAGAAAGCTGCTAGGCTCCAGGGAAATGCAAATTGAGTTGCACAGAGAGGTAATGCCTCACACCTAGCGGGACAGCTGCTATGAACAAAACAGTAGAAGGTTACAAAGAGTGGTTAGGATGTGGGGACAGAACTCAGGATGGAGTACTTCACTAACATGCGCAAGGCTGAGGGCTCAGCCCCCAGTGCTGACTGATAGATAGGTGATAGGTGGATGGATGGATGGATGGATGGATGGATGGGTGGGTGGTGGATGGATGGATGGATGGATGGATGATGGATGATAGACATACATACATACATACGCATACACACACATACACACATACATAAAGGAACTGTGGGGAAGTTGAAATTCGTACACTGTTAATGGGGGAGTACAGCAATACCATCACTGTAGCAAACGGCACGCTGGTTTGCTACAGCAGCGTAGACCCGGCTCCTGTCCAGCTATTCTGCTTCTCTGCACACCAAGACAGAACCAAAAGCAAATACACGCAGAGATCTTCTTGGTCCTGATCTCTGAGTTTGCTGGCCTGTCACAACAATGTATCATTCATTTACTCACAGACCTGGAGGTCAAAAGTCTAAGCAGGAGGATGCTGCCAGGGTTTAGGGGGGAGGATGAAGAGTTTCTTCTTAGAGAGATGAAAAATATCCGGAAATAGATACTGTTTTGATCAGTTTGTGCCCTGCCCTCAGTCACTCCGTATTGTGCAGAACAATGGTTTTCAGGCAGTGCTTCACCCAGAAAGACTCCATTTTACAAGCTGCTGTCGACTCCATTTTGAGGTTGAAAATGACTCTGCAACTTGGTAGGCATGTAAACAACACCATCTGCCTGGTACCACCCACGGCACAGACTGTTAAATGACATATTCCTAAAGTAAAAAAAGATAACCACCCTATTGATTTATCAAAGTAAATTGAGTCCACTTTAGCACATTGAAGGTATTAAAATCCTCTTGGGGGGAGGGAGAACCAGGCATAAGAACTTATCCAACACACTAGACTTCGGGGAGGGTGTAATGTTCTCTCTAACCCAAGAGGGCTATGTTCTCTCTAACCTGTCATCTGACCAGGTGAGGCTCACATGTGCATGCGTGCATGTGTACAAACCTGTGTGTGCATGTGTGTGCACTCGATACAGAGAGAGAGAGGAGAGAGAGAGAGAGAGAGAGAGAGAGAGAGAGAGAGAGAGAGAGAGGAGGGGCAGGGAGCTATGACAAGGAGCTGGTGTATGGCAGGAGCAGGAAACAGTTCACATCTTGAACCACAAACACGAAGCAGAGAGAGCTACTGGAAAGGCAGGCAGCCTTAAACTAGCCATCCCCAGTGACACGCTTTCTTAGCAAGGTGGCGTCTCCTGTCTCCCAATGAGCACCAACAGCTTAGCACCAAATGTTCAAATACATTCAAGTGTGTGGTGTGTGTGTGTGTGTGTGTGTGTGTGTGTGTGCAGAGAATTCCCAACTGTTTGAGACTTTAGCTTAACATGATCTCAGCTCTGATAAAGTCAACTCAAATCTGTGTCCATCAGTCTACCCATCTGTCTGTCTGGAGTTAGTTCTGTAGTTCACCTCTGTCACCCCTATGACCAGTAGTATCTCATACCTCACTTCTGCAGTTTGACTCAACTCTGACTCTGTGGCCTGGCTGGGGCTGCAGACACTGGGTTCTGACTGGGTTAGTATCTGACTTGACCTTTCTCTGCCTCCCTCTGCGTCCTTACCAGCCTCCTGCTTCTGCCTTTCAGCAAGGCCTCTTGGACACTCCTTGAACTCTGTTGGGCTTCCTGAACCCTTCTACGCTATATGTGCACACAGATATGTTTACTGTGCAATATTGAATGTCGAAGCTTGGAGCTAATATTAGCAGTTAAGATCGGAATAAAAGAACCTGTGTGTGTTTGCCTCAGCCAGCTATGAGGGGAAATGGGGGCTATTGACACGCTAGCCGAGGAAACTCTGCAGCTAGTGAATGAGTTGTTATTCAGTAAATGTAGACTTTGTGGGAAAACATGATCATGTTTGTCTGTTTCTGACAAAGGACAGTCATGACAGTTACAGTCGATGTAAAATCATGAGAGTAACTTACCAGCCACTGAATTATATATATTTACAGAGGGTTAGCTGAAGGAGGAGGATAGCTTAGTGTGCCATGCTTGCTTAGCATATATAAAACCCTGGGTTCATTCCAGCACCACACACACACATACACTCACACACACACACACACACACACACACACACGGGGAGAACAATTGATAATTTTTATTGTATATATTTTATTCCAATTGTTCTTTTAATAAACAAAACTGACATGTTAAGGATGATGACTTTTATAGGCTCGAGGGTGGTCAGGTGGCCCTATCTGGTGTGCGGGCATTTTCCAAGGCCAGTTGCAGGGCACAGGAGGAGCAGGACTGCAGAGTCAGAGAGAAGCATCTGCCTTGTTTCTGACTCTCTGGCGAGCTACCCACTCCTCCCCATTCTGTTTTAGACTCCTGTGGCGGTTAGTGTTAACTGTCAACTTGATTGGATCTTAATTAGATTAATTAAGGACCCATCTTAACTATGTGCAGACCATTCCCTGGGTGGGTATGCTGACCTGTGTATAAAATTATGAAAGTGAGTTGAGCAGAAACTTGCATCTAATGACCCTCCATTCCTGATTATGGGTGTGCAGGACCAGCTACCTACTCAGCTCCCAGTGCCTCTGTTTCCCTGATGGACTGTACCCAAATTGTGAGCTGAAAGAAACCCATTCTCTATACAGTTGGGCATTTAATCACAGCAATAGGGAAAGAAGCTAACGTAACTCCTCCCCTTCAACTCCGTTTCTGTTATTAGGTTTTATCTATTGCTCCAGCCCTGCCCTCCACAAGTGTGGTCGTCTTTACAGAAGATACACTTCCTTGGGCCATTCAAAGAGGCCCTGGGTTTCATGGCAGGAGAGAAAGTCCTGACCATCAGCCACTGCCCAAGTCATCCCCAGAGCCACCTCTTTCAGCCTGCTTGCCTTGACTTTTGACCTTTGTATCCCCTTGGCCTGTGGCTTTGTCTTCCTGCTGGGGGTGTGAGTGGCTGCTGTTGGACATTTGGCTTGATATTCAATGCACCATGTTACCAAGAGGAACAAAGGAGCCCAGTGACCCCCTTACCCTCTAAGGCCATCTTCTGAGTCTTGGCATGAGACTCAAGATTTAAATAGAAGGCCAGAGGTTTGAGTCACTCTGGCTGAGGTGTAGTCCACCCGCATTGACCCATCACATGTCCCAGCTCCAGTGTGGTTTGCAAGGCAGCCTGACAGCTTGTCAGAATGTGGTAAAATCTCTTTAATGGAGACAGGGTTGGCAGAAAGCCTTTTCCTTGGGAATCTGAGATTCCTGAAGAAGTGCCAGTTTCTCAGTTCCATTGTTTCCATAGTCTATAGCCAAAGAGAGGGACACGGTGTCTCTGTAGACTACTTCATTCCTTTTTTTTTTTCCCAGAGACAGGGTTTCTCTGTGTAGCCCTGGCTGTCCTGGAACTCACTCTGTAGACCAGGCTGGCCTCGAACTCAGAAATCCACCTGCCTCTGCCTCCCAAGTGCAGGGATTAAAGGCGTGCGTCACCATTGCCCGGCGACTACTTCATTCCTAACAGTATCCTTACAACTGTGTCTCCCTACTGGCTAGACCTTAGAAGTCCTCTTGGAGAGGGAGGTGGTTCCCTCCCAGAGCATGTACACCTGCCCCAAGGGCCCAGATCCTTGACTCTGTGCTCTCTTGTTCACCCCAGGACCTGAGTTCCTTTGCCATGCCACTCCTGGATGGAGATGTGGAGAATTCAGAAAAGCACTCTTCTCGGAAGGTAAGACCTCCCTTTTCAAAGCTTCTCACCACCCCACCTGAGATGTTCCCCAAAGCGGGCAGAGTCTGAGACACCCTTCCAAGTTTACTTGTATGAGGCTCACACCAGCATCAGGGTGGCTGTGGCTGAGCAGCTCCCCTCAAGGGCAGTGCCTCCCGTGTTGCTGACTGCTTCAAGGCTATTAGCCATTCAGAACCAGGCAAGGAGTCAGGGTGTGGCAGGTGAGGGGTCACAGTGACCATCAAAGAGGGGGTCAAGGCAGCCCGCAGGTTCCCCTGCAGTTGGGAAGTGGCATCCTAGCACCCACTGACCCAAGTACAAAGATTACAGCAGGGAGGGGCTGCAGCATCTCTAAGAGGCTTGCCCAGGGCTCTCCAGCCTGGATTAGGGTGGGAGTTCCCATCCTGGAAAAAGGGAGTCTATTCCCTGAGCATTTGAATCGAATACAATTGAATCAACAAATTCGTTTAGGCCCATGAGGACTCACTTGGCAGGCAGTCCCCTGCCCCGCCCTGCCCTACCCAAACAACCTTATTAGCAGTTATTGTGACCCAGCCAGAAAGGCTGTCAGAAAATGGCCTGGGGCCTGGGCTGGCAGGCGCCATCAAGCTCAGAGCCTGTAGTGTAGCCAGGTCAAGTCCTCTGGTCCTCTGCCCTGTTGTGCTCCACGTGGCCTTTCCTGCATGGAAAACCCACTGGGAACCAAGGCTGAGGCCGAGGTGCTCCATGGTTGCTGGGGATCTCTCTGGTAGCCCCAGCAGTCCAGAGAGGCTGTGGTGAGCACTGACAGTCAGCTGAGAGGCAAAGATCATGGAGGTAATCTTGCCTTCCTACAACATTTGCTCAGAAATAGCCTAACCCATCCTCTGTGCCTTGTGACCAGGAGGAGTGGCTTGTTGTACAGTGGCAGTGCAGACGCAATAGAAGACCAGGGACCCTAGAATACATTCCTCTCCCACATCATGCAGCTTGGGGGCAGGGCCTCTCCTGAGCAGCTCTGTGTGATGGGAGGGGTACTGGGGCCAGGGTAGTCATTCCCATGGGTATTGCAACCTAGTGCCCACCCCAGAGAGCACCTGCTCCTGGGCATGGTGCTATCTCCAGTGCTACTGTCTCTCAGCCGTCTACTGTGGGTGACAGCAAGGAGACAGGGAGATGATAGACATCCTTTCTGAGGATGTTACTGGAGAGGCCCAAGGTGAGTTAGGGATGCTACAGGGCTTTCATGGTGGAAGGACATGAATAAGGGAACAGGGAGACCAGAAGAGGACAGGGCAGTGGGCACGGCAGGGTCTGCCCGCAGGAGCCATATTGGATGAATGAGGCAGCCGTGTGAGGGTCGCCAGTCACATCAAGTGCGACACCAGTCATATCAAGTGCAAGTGTGGGCAGATGAGGAGCTGAGCGGAGAACTCAGTGTTCAAGACACATTTCCTTAAGTCGGCTTAAAGATAAGTTGGCCTCACCATCTCACAGGGCTAATGGGAAGTGTTCTTCTCCACCACCTCTGCTCCTTGGCTTGTCCAAAGGTACCATATTTGCAGATACCATGTTTAGCTGCAGAAGCTTCATCATGATGATTAAAAACAAACAAACAAACAAAACAGAAACAAAACACTGCCTCACTCATGACTGATTTGCAGCTGAGCTGGACCCGAGTGCAGGTTGCTCAGTGCTTGACCAGTATGTCCCCCACTGTACCTTAATGTCCTGAACTTCAGGGAAGTGTCCTAAGCAGGACACATCCCACACCAGTGCTCTTGACTACCTACGGTGTTGTCTGAGAACATCTTCAATAGGGAAATGGGCCCCCCCATGTCTCCTCTCTTCACACTCTGTCTCCTGTCCTCAAGAGGTAGCGTAGCCGTTCTTTGTCATAGCAACATGTCTCTGCATAGCACTCTGGTCAGCTGTGTGACTATAGTCAGAACCAGCCAAGAAGAATCATTGTTGCCCGCCACCTCAGGGTGGCCAGCCACACTTCAGAGGCTAATCAGAGGGGTCTGTGGAATGACCCAGCATATGCCCAACAAATGACTGGGTTTCCTTTCCATATGCTGACCCTGTGATCCCTGCCCGGCAGTCCTCTCATCCCTAGCCATAGACAAGACAGTCTCTCTCTGAGCATGTCTTCTCCCATATCAACCAGAGCCAGGAGTTGTGCTTGCCAGAGGATCAAGGATTAGATGACATCACTGAGGAGCTGGTGCAGAGGGTGCCTGAAACCCAGCAGTTCGAGAAGGCCAGTCAGCACTCTGAGAAGAGGAGCGCCCATGTACTGTTCACTTGCTCTCAGGGAGTGTCCCCTGTGCCAGGCTGAAGACTGATCTCGGGTCCTCTGGAGACCAGCCCACAGCGGAGTCCTGGGAACTTAGTGCAGTTGCTCCCACTTTCGTCTCTTCCAGCTTGAGACGCTGGGCTCATCACTGGATTCCAAGTTTGGTGCTTATGTCCCCGGCTTTGGATTTCCTCTCCCCAGCTGCCTTCCCGGTTCCCTTGACCTCTGTCTTGCCAAACCCTCATGGTTAGTCCTGAAGGCAGCCCCCACTGGGGAAGCCCTTCCTCAGCTTCTCTCCCACTGCCTCCTCTTCTGTTCTGTGGAAAGACAAGCTCAGATAAGACCAGAGCAGGGGCTGTCCCTAGCCTCAGCTTTCTGACAAACATGGAATTTTTCCCTGTCTAGAAAATTCTGCCTTCAAGAGCCCAAGTGTTTGCTCTCCATTAGCTCCCAAGAAGCGGGCGCACACTGGGGAGGCTCACCCATACTCAGAGAGTCATCAAGTTATGTTGATAAGAGTATCAGTTTGCTTCGGTTAGCCTAATAGCCCGGTGCCTAGCCATCCCTGGTGGCTCTAGAGGCGCCCATGGTCTGCTGTTTCCTGCCAGCCTTGTCCAGGAAACAGGCAGGGAAGGATTGGATCTGCAGGGGCAGGTCTCCATAGGAGAGTCCAGGCAGGGCCCAGCATCCTCTGTTTTTTGGTCATTTTTAGGGGAAGGAAGTAGAAGGTCTGTTTTCTGGGGCTCCCTTTTCTAACTCCTGGGGCCTGCAATTCTGAATATAGAATGAATTCTCAGTCAGCGAGGTCTCAGGGACTCCTTGCCAATTACAAAAGATACAAGTCTTTTATGGCATTTAGCTCTACTCGTCGTATGAGGTCCTGGGTAGACCGTGCCTTAGCCCTCCGTATCTGAGACCTGGCTCCTTCTCCAGTCCCACTCCAGAATGCCTACTCTACATTGCCCACTATCCTGCCCATCAGACCTCAGGTCTTCGATGATCTGGGGTCCTGTGAGAGGTGGGCTTGTTGTCCTGGTAACCCTTCACCTGCTTCCCACTGCTTCACCTTGGTCTGTGGTCTCCTGGGGCCACTGCTTCCCTGTCTACCTTTGTCTTCTCTCTAGACACCACCTCTTCATCAGGCCAAGCTCACCTGCAAGGCGAGCTGTCTGGCACAAAGGAGTGCTATGGTTCAGTCTTCAGGGACTCCAAAGGCGACTCTCTCTGTCTGGCCTTGACTCTTTGATCTTATGAACATTTCCATGATGGTTCTAGAGGTGTGTCGTGTGAAGCTGCAGGCCTTGAGGTCAGAGCACTCACCAGCTTTCTGATGTCCATTCTGGTCCCAGCCGGCACCTTTTACCATTAGCATCCAGTGCTGAAGAATGGTGGACCTTACATACTCATGACAGCCGGTGCCTGCCTAGCTCTGGAGCCACCTTGGTCCCCTACAGTCACGGATCAGGTCCCGGTACCATGGATAGCTCTCATAACTGGGCTGTTCCCGAGCTGAGCCTTCCTCCTCCCCCAGACTACAAGTCCCTTCTCTACCAAGAACTCTTTAATGCACAGTGAGGCTGTTGGGTGGACATGTACGAAGGACCACCTGTATACCACGAACCGTGCTAAACATCCCTCCTGTGTATAACATAGCCAAACATTCTTGTAGCCCACGAAGCAGTCTAGCATCTCCATGGTGTAGGGAAAGAGAGATGTGCTGGTAACCAGGGCCATGTCCCAGAGTGGGTGTGTGGACCTACCAGTAGAGGGCGCCCCTGAGTTCCAACATCAGGCATCTCAAAGACTCATCCATCCACACTGATGGTGCAAGGACTTAAACTCCGGTCTCTGTACAGATCCTTGCTCATTTAACCACTTGCTTTAGGGAGATCTTCTATTTCTGGTATGTGCGGGTTCTACGGCAGATGAGGTCTCTCAGCTCCCTTTTGTTAGTTGGTGACTATCTACCACCTGAAGAACCTCTTTCCTTAAAAGTTATTCTCAGAAGTCATCCCGAGTCCCACAGGAAAATGGGATGGTGGCTAAGTTGGAGAGGCAAGGAATCCAAGCTGATCCTTGTAAGCAGGAGGGGAGTTGGTTTGAACTTCTTTCTAGGGAGGTTGGCTCAGTTGATCCTGGTCACATTGTCAGAAGCCATTCAGGAAGGAGTTGGTATCAAGTGAGTCCCACACCTCCATGTGACACTTTTCTAGGGGCAGGTGGAGAATCACGGAGGAAATTGGTGGTCACTGAAGGGTTATCCCCACACGGGCATCACAATCTTTGAGATGCCTGATGTTGGAACTCAGGGGCGCCCTCTAGTGGTAGGTAGGTCCACAATCCACTCTAGGGCCCTGGTTACCAGCACAGATCATTTCCAGGGTTTGATCATTGTCCTCTGAGCTTATGACAGTTACTTTCTTTTCTTTTGCTGACTTGGGGTCCCCTTAGGTCCCTTGGGTCCCAGTGTCAGACCCCAGTGATCACCACACATCATTGCTGCAGATCAGTCCCTGTGCTGATGTCACCCTGTGAACACACAGCTAGACCTACAAGCTGAGGGTGTGACTGTCCTTCTGTTACAGAGAAGGAAAGAGGGACAGAGCTGAGGTCAGAGCCCAGGCTGCAGGAAGCAAGCTCCCGAGTACAATCACACAGCAGATACTGGATGGCTTTGAGCTGGAACCATGGCTTAAAGCTATGGGACCTGGTAGTTTTTCTCAGGCTGTAGCTATGGGTTCCAGTCATCAGTGAAGTCTGAGGTCTTGCCTGACTTCTGTCAGTAACCTTGGCCATTCACATGCCACAGAAGCCTGGAGTGACCTGCCGCCTCCTCACCCAGCGTCCTCGCCAGTGACCGAAGCGTGCATTCTGGATCATGCTGGCTCATGCTTCTCCTAGGGTAGGGAGGGCTGCAAAGAGCCACTGTGTGTCATCAGACCTGGAAGAGGACACATGCGGGGCTTCAGGAACAAAAGCTATTATGGAAACAGTCACTGGACATGGACAGGGTAGTCAAGAGAGACGGGAGTGGTGCTAGGCACCCTCTCCTCACCTTCACATCCCCTCGAGGGCTCTGTTAGACAGCTACACAGGGTTTCCGGGGGCTCCAGGACAGGAGCTGACCAGCCTAGGGTCAGGTGTCCATGACTGGCAATTGGAGCATTCCCTTGTCACCTCTGTGGAAGAGCTCAGGGTTGTTTCTCTGTTTGGTAAGCTTATGAAAGGTCAATAACCACAGATCTACTCTGGTAGAGTTCAGAGTGCCTGGAGCATTGTGACCTCACCCATTTGTCTGTCTTTCTGCAGGTGGACGGTCCCTTTAGCTCAGGCAGCCCCTCCAGAGGACTCTTCTCCAAGGGCCCCCAGCCCCGGCCCTCCAGCCCTGTGTCTGCTCCTGTGAGGCCCAAGACAAGCCCTGGCTCTCCCAAAACTGTGTTCCCGTTCTCCTACCAGGAGTCCCCTCCACGCTCTCCACGCCGGATGAGCTTCAGTGGGATCTTCCGATCCTCATCCAAAGAGTCTTCACCCAACTCCAACCCGTCTACCTCTCCTGGGGGCATCAGGTTCTTCTCGCGGTCCAGAAAAAGTAAGACTTTGATGCTATGGTTTCAGGTGGGTGCTGGGCTGCGAGCGACCTTCCTATAGCCGCTCGGTCAAGTGTAGCTATGGATGACTTGGTGCTGAGACATGCCTTCATGTTCAGTGACATCCATTTCCACCTGCTGCTTGCTGCCTGCACTGCTCCTCTGGTGTGGTGTCCCTGGTGGTATGGACTCAGTGGCATGTACTAGAAGCTTTCTGAGCTTCACAGTCTGATTTCGGGAAGACAAATGTTGACTTCAGTGCTCAGGGTGGGTCTGCACTCAAGGCCAGTGGGCTGCCTGGTATGGTCCTCTGTTTGGGATCCTGGCCTTTGACTCTGTTATGGAAGATCCTGGATTCTTCTCTCTGGGGCTCTGGGGAACTGGAGTCGTGGGCGGGATAGATTGGAGGAGAAACATGAAGGAAGTACGTGTGTGTTGGAGTGAGAGCATCCCTCAGACTCATAAATTACGTGTGGTCTGAGGATGAATATTGTCACTTGAGCACTGTTGATCATAAGAAAGACCGAGGACAACTGTAAAAGTAGGTTTGTCTCAGTTTCTTTCCCGGTGCTGTGGTGAAGTATCCTGTCAGACGCAACTTAGGGGAGAAAGGGTTTGTTTGGCTAACAGTTCTATAGAGATATCCATCTTGGCGCGGATGGCCTGGAGGCAGGAGCAGGAGACTGCTGGTCACGTTGCACACTCAGGAAGCAGAAAGCAAACAGCAAGTGGGTCCAGGCTTTTAAAAAGAAAAAAAGAAAAAGAATAAAAAAAAGATAGGCTCAACCACTCCCCAATACCCCCAGTGACCCACTTCCTCCAGTGAAGCTCTGCCTCTTAAAGATGCTACAGCTTTCCCAGATAGCTTCACAGCTGGGATCACGTGGTCAAACAGGAGCCTGAGAGGGCCATTCCACACTTAAACTACCACAGACAGCTTGCTTCCTCCCTGCCTATATCTTTCCCCCAGTTTTCTGAGAACGTTTGCCTGGAGAGCAGAAAGGCACTTTCCACGGGAAGAGTAGCATTTGCATCTCTTGTCTCTCGAGACCCACCGTGGAGACACTTCAGCCTTCCTTAGTTACGAGTTATGACGAGGGTTCCCTTTCCTCAGTATTTTGGGTGCATGAGTGGCCTGTGGATCATCGTCCCAGGGATGGCAGCTCCTCTGCTTTCTGAGAACCTGTAATACACATGTTATACCGTGACTGAGCCATGGTGTCGGTGTGACAGCGGTCCTTGAGGCCAACATTTCCAGGGGGAAAAGCTGTGCAGCTGCAAAGCTCAGTCACGAGCAGAATGTTCTAGAGAACGTCTTCCAGTTGTTGGACCACACCCTAAGACTCTCACAGTTGTCCCTCACTGTTCAGTAAGGTGCTGGCTCCAGGATCCACTATGGATACCAAACAGCCAAAGACGCCCAAATCCCTTATATAGGACTAGTGTAGCATTCGCATAAGCCTGTATAATCCCTTCATATACATTTATAATACTTTTAATGTGTATGGCTGTTTTGTCTATGTGCTATGTCAGTATACCATGTGTGTATAAGTGCCCAAGGAGGCCAGAAGAGGAGCTATTGGCTGTGATCACAGGCACCAGTCACAGACACCTTTATAGCAATCCAGGCAGAAGTGCATGGCGCCTCTTCCATTTTAGTCTTCTAGAAGGTACCACGCGATGTTCAGGCGGGCTTATGAAGGCTGCTTTCCCACATCTTCCTAGGCAGCTGTGGATTGGGCCTAGGAAGAGTTATGCAATGTCTTGGAGCTTCACAAAAAAGATGAAACTTGATTGGGTTGAACTGAAGGGACTTGGCCTCTTAGGGAAAGCCCCTAGGGTGAGGGGAGACTTGACAGATCAAGTCATTCTCCAGAGCAGTTGCGGTTGTTATCCTTGAACCACCATGCCAAGTTCCTGGGTTTTTCTACACCCATCAGGTACCGATGTGCAGTTCTGGAGTGGGAGCCCAAAGCAGCAATTTCAGCTGGCCTGGTATGAGGCTGGCTTTGAAGGTAGACAATATACCTGCTTTCTCTTAGGCTTGGACACCCTTTCCTGGATTGAAGTACCTAGGCAACATATTGCTCCTCACTGCCGGAGAATTTATTTCCCTGATCACAGGGGCTTTCTGGTGACAGTCCCATGGCACCCTGTGTCCATTGCAGGCATGTCAGGAGGGCATTGCTCGTTACTCAGAGTCCTGAGAGGGCTTTCCTGTCTGGTCTCTTTACCAAGAATAGCTGAGCATCTGATCGGCTGCCCCACTTTTGTCTAGAGTGGACAGTAATCATAGAATGGCCCAGTTTTCCTGTCTGTACTGCCTGCTCGTTGTCTTTGACCCATATTTGTACAAAAGGACCTTGGGGTGTGTCATGCCTTGCTTCTGAAGCTGTCCTTGGTCCCCACTCTTGTGCTGACAACCCTACTGTGGTTTTGTTTTTGAAACTAGGTCTTCCTGTGTTGCCCAGGTTGACCTCCAAATTGCTATGTAGCCCATGGTAGCTTCAACGTAATCTTCATGACCCTGCCTTCCACATGCTGGGGTTATAGGCAAGTGCCATTGCATATAGCTTTACTTCTGGATTTTTTAAACAAGGAAGACAGTTTATTGGGGTAGGGTGGGGGGAGGGGAGGGGCGCGTATCTAGATTGTAAAAAGGGCTCAGCTCAGCTCGGGATTTAGGAAGAGAAGGGATATCGCTAGCTCCTGGGATGGCAAGAATGTACAGCCTGTTTGTTTGTTGATTGATTGATTGATTGATTGATTGATTCAATCCAGAAAGCCCCCTGTGTTGTGTCCTTGATTCCCTCCATAGTGTACCTGAGTAGCAAAGCAAGGTTGCCTGAGTCGCTCAGTGCTGGATGCCTAAGGCTAGGTGATGGACCGATGGATGTCAGAGGCAGCCTTGCTTAAACACTAAAGGCCTAAAATCAGCAATAGGCCTGACATACATGCCTGCTAACACAGTCTTGGATCTCTGTGGGAAAACACTGAAACAGATAGCTATAAGATATTGTAAACCGGCAGCTTTGGTGGAAATTTACCAGCCTAGATAGGAACAAGTAGTCATAGGTCTTGTGGATAGTCATAGACCTTGGGTAGCCTTGTTGGATAGTACCAACTTAGATAAGGACAAGTGAATCATAGGCGGAGTCATAGTGATCTGTCCCCTGAACCTTCACCCAACTGACACTCTGTTCTGGAAGATATCTGTACTCCCCCTGAACACCTACACTCCTGCATCATCCCCTTCCCCACATCCTGCCTTTTTGTGTTTATAACCCTTGTGTGAAAAAGTAAAATCAGCGGTTTGATCAGACTATAAACAAGCCGCTTGTTCTTTGTGTTCCCTGTCCTCCAGTTCTCTCTCCCAGGTCTCTCTGATCCCAGTTCAATGTCCTGTGGGACTGAGAGATGGGCAGTTATACACCTGCAATAGCAGAGGACTGACCTCACCATCTAGAGGCTACATCAAGGTGCTGGCCGAAGCATGCATAGTCTGTGTCTGCCATGGGAAAACCTGTTCCAGGCCTGCGGTCAGTTTCTAAGACCCTGTACCTCAATCTCTGTGACAGTTTGGATCTGAACTGTCCCCACAGCTCATGGTCTGAGCATTTGCTTCTGAGCTGACAGTGCAGCTTGGGGAGGCTGTGGGACCTTTGTGTTTAGCTGGGAGAAGTAGGTCTCCAGAGCTAGGCCTTTGAATTTGATAGCCCAGCCCTGGTTCTAAATGCCCTCTAGACTCGAACAAGGAGTCGCCACTACCTGTTCCTGCTCCACAAACTGGACCACAGGCCTTCCCTACCACGGCTGACTGAAACCTTTGAAACCATAAGCTGAAGTAATATGTCCCACTTTTCTGTTGTTCTGCTCTGTGCTGTGGCACAGAGCCACAGGTGTAGCTAACGCTCTGCCTCCACTGCCGGTGTGGCCCCTCTCCCCTGCAGGTGTGCCTTCTTTCCTTAAAAGAACAGTGGTCATGTGCGATGAAGGGCTGTCCTACTCTAAGATAATCCCACTTCAAGCAATGACATCTGCAGTGACTTTATCTCCAAACAAGGCCACGTCTGAGGTTCTAAGAAAGACATACATTTGGGTCCCAAATGTATCAGCCCAACTGCCAGCCACAGCTGCGGCTCCAGCTAGGCCTGGCGTTTCTGACCTTTGACATTTGTTTTGTCTCCTTTACATGGCTAAATCTGTCTCCTCCTCCTGGGAAAGCGTCTTTTTTGTTTTCTTTTGTTGCTGTTATTTCTTTTGACTTTGCAACAGGATCTCAATATGTGTCATACCGTAGCAACTCAGGGTCCTCCTGCCTCAGCCTCCTGAGTGCTGACATGACAAACATGTGCTCCCATATCTGACTCCTGTTTCTGTTAAAATGTGAAGGAAAAACAGAACAAACAAAAACCAGTGGAAAGCTGGTTACCCAGCCTCAGCATAGCCTATGGGCAAGACCACTGAGTGGAGCAGCCCATCCATGGAGCTTTGATGGCCTTGAGGAGACAGGCGCTCTGAATGGATTAGAACTCTGAGTCAGGTGGAGGTGGGGCTTTCAGGTAGGATTGGACTAGAATTGGATGAGAGCCACAAGCCAAAAGCCCAGAACTGGTGTGAAGAAGATGGCGTGGAGTTCAAGGTTCCCAGGACACAGGCTGTCCAACAGTGTATGTGTGTGTGGGGGGGGGGATGTTGCACGACTGCCCAGCCCACTGATCATCAGGACAGCTTTGAGAAGCAGCCATTGCTGATGGCTCACCAACAGTGGAATGAAGAGATGACTCAACAGTCAGCGCTTGCTGCTCTTCCATAGGACCCAAGTCGAGTTTTCAGCACACATGGGGCAGCTTACAATCCCCTATAGCTCCAATTCCAGGGGATTTGACACCCCTTGCTGGCTTCTAGGGATACCTGTATACACATGGCAAACACACACACACACACACACACACACACACACACTCACACTCATAGGTACATGCAAGCATGCATGTACGTA